TGGGGGCCACTGGAGAAGGACGCGGGCTCCGGGGACCGGGAGTTCCCCGCCTCCGGTGGCGCCCGCTGGTCCCGGCTGCAGAGGGGCCGGGCAGGCAGCGCCCCCCGGCTTTCCCCTTCCGCAGCCACGTCCCTCGCCGCCACCAGCAGCCCCGGGACAGCGGGTCCCGAAGGTTTCGAAAGCGAATATATGCACCTCGGGCTGGGGTGGGGGAGGTCCTGTCCGACACCGGGAACTCGGCCGCCACTCCCGCAGCCCCCATCCTCACTGGCAGTTTTGTAAACGTTTGCTTTCTCTTCTTTCACGAGCCAAGTGTCCTACACCCTCTGAAGTGCGGGCTGCTTCAGCGTGTCCTGCCCACAGCCTGCCCTCTTCGGTTCCCAGGGCTCGTGGACCATCTCCCACCCGTGCACGTCCGAGGCCGGCTCAGTCCGCATTGCTTCCTACCATCACTCCCCTGGCTCCCAGGCTCCGGACCATATGGGCGTTGCTGGCTCCTCGGCTCGCTGGGTGCCCCCAGTGCAGGGCGCATGAGTTTAAAGGGGCCTCTTTGGGAGACCAAGGCCTGCTCCCCTCTTTTGTCACTCCCCTCCAACGCAGCCCTGTGGCTCACACACCGGGAGAAGCCCGCGCTGCACCCCGGCCGCCTGAGGGAGGGTTGAAATGAACCTTCCAATTTCTCCACGATTGATTTAGCCAAACAACTAAAAAATACACTGAAAGCAAAATTTCATACTCCATTATGTCCTCATTCTACCCACAAAACGCCCAGATGCCGCAATGCACCGCTGAGACAAGTGGTTATAAATTGATTTCAAATACCAAGTTCTCCTTTGGGGACACGATTGGAAATTCTTTTCATTTTTCCCATTGTTATCCACTTCTAAAAAATCGTTTTATAAACTGCCTAAAATCGAACTCATTTATGTCCCAAGAAAGGCACGCCTAAATAAATGTGTAAGAGTTGGAAATAACTGAACCGCAAACCAGAAACTGCCCTGGTGACAACAGTAACAAATTCAACCACCACCAAAAGACTGAGAAGCACCGGCCTCCCTGGTAGAAGCCACCCCGGAGCCTCTCTCCCCAGCCACTGCACTTGAGCCCTGCCAGGATCCCAAGATTGCAGGACGCAGGATTCCAGGATTGAGGATGCCCCCAGCGCCGCCCAGCCACACAGCAGCAGGAGCAGTGGCCATCATTTCATTTAGTTTATTAGACAAAAATATATGATTTAGACAAGTTTGCTGACGTGCTATTTACAATCTGAAATCACTCTATATACAGAAAAAAAGACACAAGCACATGGGGGCATTTTGGAACCGATAATCACCCAGAGCACGGTGACAGCCACCTGAGCCGTGCGCGGGCAGAGGCCAGACTGCCTGGACGCGGGCTCGGGGCCGGAGGAGCCCCTTTCTGCAGAAAGCGATGGATGGGAGTCCTTGACTTCGTCGCCAGATTTGCCCTTTACACCAGTCTGAAATATTTGTCTTAATTCCTCCCTCACCCCCTCCCTCCTGAACTTCTCCCCCCTCCCCCCCCGCGAAAGTAAAAGAAGATCCTGAATCAGGCTGACGGGAGGCCTGCTAGGATCCTCGGCGTTCCCTCCTGCGGGGCCAGCGAGCTGCAGGGGAAACACAGCAAGACAAGAACACAGCACCGTCAGTAGATGGAAGCGGGGACCGAGCGTCGCCGGCTCTGCCAGCCGAGCGCCCAGGGGCGGGGTCGCCTGCCCCGCGCGGCTCCCGGCTCAGGAGAAACCGGAGGGGGGGGTGGGATCGGCTAGCCCCGGCGTGTCTGGTGCATGGCGCCCCTCTAACGTTGACTGAGCGACCCCACCGCCGCCTGCCCCGCTCAGCCTCTGGCCCTCAACGCCACCCTCGCCCCTGCCCAGTGGTAAACGCCAGCTGCACTCACTTGTCGCGTACGGGCTGGAAGGGTGACTTTAACTGCTGGGCCGGCGAGTCGGGCCTGGGGACGAGGTCTCTCTCTGCGAGGGAGGGGAAGAGGCTGAGCGTTAGGACGGGGAACACGGATGCCGCAGCGGCGCCCAGGCCGCCTCTCCACCCGACCCGGCTCCACTCCATTCCCTCCCACCCCTCAGAAGTGTCTCCAGGGGAAAACTACCCACCTCCTTCCCGTGTTGGGCCAGTGGGTAGAGCATGGGCTTTCTCGGGAGAGCCGAGCAGAGTGCCTTGGCCTCGCTCCTTGAATTCAGGCAGGGATGACTGATCAGCCCCGGCCTCGCGGTCACTGCGTCTCACCCTCCCCGGCCAGTGGTTCCACTCCACCCCCATGCCTTGCCTGGCCTCGTATTTCTCGCCTGGGGCGGAGCGGACGCCCACGGTCTGGTTACCTGGGAGCGAGGGGCTGCTGCGGGCTGAGGCCTTGTCGCCGTGGAGCACCCCCGCGGCGACGGTGACGGCCGGCTGAGGTGGCGGCGCGGACAGGTGAGGGCCGTGG